GCTACTATAACTGGGTACTATAATCTTGGTATCCATTTCTCTAGGCTAGTCTTTATAGTAGAACTGTTGAAGATTTAGCTATCTCTCTATTCAGATCTTCTCAAATGGACTTTTTATTACCCAATTTCAACAAATTTACACAGCTACAAGAACTTATCTAGTGTTTGCACTGTCTGATTTGTCAGTTTGCATTCTTCTGTGTAATGTCATACTTACACAAATGCTCTATAACTTGCCAATCATACTGGTATGACTGCCATTATAGGTATCCTAATCCAATCATTAGTAATAGTTGCATAATATGAATATTATATAGGTGATTATCTAAATTTTTATTATCAATAGAATTTGAACACCCAATCTACCACTTGGAGGATTGACAACCTAATTACTTTACTAGGTCACCTATTCTAATATCTATTTTTGTCATATTATTTACATTTGTATCTTTTTGAATTATTTGATTATATATAAATTTGTTATTTGTATTTAGTATTTTAGAATTATTTGTTTGTTTTATTTCTATATTCATTTGATTGTTTTGTTCTAATTTTATAACTTAGTTGTTATTTGTTATTGCTTTATAAAAGTTTTATATTTTAGTAGATATGGGTTTTGTATTGTGTTGGTCACTTGTTTTCTTATTTGATATCTGATTTTGTAACAAGATTATTTGATTTTCTTATATGACTATATAAACTTGTATATTGTATATAATAATTATTGTGTTGTTTTTTTTTATATAATATTTGTTATATTATGATTGTTATCAGTCTGAATTGTATTATTATTTTGTTGATTTATTTGTAACGATATTATTTATTTTATAAAAAGTATGTTATATCATCCATTTTTGTTATTAACTAAAATTTAAAAAGGAACAATATGTCTTTTTTTATTGTAAATATCTTTATAAATAGTATCTAAATTGATATAATGTTGTTACTATCTAATAAAATATTTGTGATTATTACCTATTGTACTTGATGCTTTAACTTTGTAACTTTGCATTACCATTAACCTTGTTAACCTTAATTTACCTTCTTTATTGAAAGTATTGAATTTTTTTTTTTTATTCTTGCCTTGTATCTTTGAAACTGTTGTATTCTCAATTTGTATATTGTATAAGTAGTTTTTTTGCCCAGAGTAGACTTTTTTATTTAGGTTTTCTTCTATAGTATTTATTGTTTTGTCTATTGTTTGTTTTTTGTCTCTGCTAATTTTTATGTCTTGAAATCTGCAGAAAAGAGTTTTTGTTTATTATTAATTTTAATATATACTATAATTACATATTTTAGTATAACGCATAAATGATAAACTGATTTGACGCATCTCAAAGTCAAATTTTAATCTTACACAACTCAATTTCAAACCTACATCTATTCGAATCTGAGATATGACATTAATAAGCACAATTTATTATTGTTAAAGTAACATGCTACAATTAGGCATAACCTAATTTTTATCATTTCGTGTAACAATTTTCGGAAACTCGTTTTGATTGAACTATTATTCGAATTTGAGCTTCAAAGCAAACTTGAGTTTATGCTTTAAGTTTACGAACTCAAGTTCAAATCCAAGTTCAAACTTTAAAACTAAAGTTTTGAACTTTAGTTTGTTTTTCTTTGAACTTCTTGAAACTGAACCAGAACTGAACTGTGCGAACCACTTACCTAAATGTTTTGATAACAATCTTACATCGCAGGGAACTATCATGATGTCCCTAGTACAATAATTATCTAACATAATATATAGTCTGCGTATACAGAAATTTTCTTTTACATTACTAGTTGTATAAATAAAATTAATTCATTTTTTTTTCTGTTTAATGCACTAAAAAGAACTAGATTAGCTTACTATGGGAGAATTATTTCATTTTTGCAAACCAAAGAAACAGAAAGAATCGTTACCATTATACACCAACTTTTTAAAGTTATAATTTAATAAATGACATTAATCGTTGCTATATTAGAATCAATACAGGAAATTATAAACACTAAAAAGTTATCCATAATGAGAATTCAAATATTAACTATTAAAATTTTGGTGAGAAGATTAATACTAATAATAAAATCAATTACTGTCAACTTGCTAGACTTTTTTTCTTTTTGAACCAAGGTGGAAATTGCCCATCCCAATTCATATCCATCTCTTTTTTGAACTTAACATTGGATCGGTGCCATTTACTCTGTAAATGCTGATTCCAATTGGCAAGTCCATTAATAACCACTGGTGAATTGTCATTAAAAATTCTGCAAATATCACACTCATACTTTGTCCAAGTCTTTAAGTTGTCAAAGGTGCTATAATAAGAATGAATTTAATTATACCAGAAGGCAATTTTTAAGAATAAATTTACTATTTGATAAATACTTCATATCTGTCCCTGGGTTCAAAAGTTCATTTGCCTCCGAGCTTAAGGATTTTGGATCCGGTCCGGTGCCATTATCCAAAAATTCTATAATTCAAAAAACTATGCTCTTTATCTCATTGAAATGTAAGACAAAAAAAAAAAAAGCCCAAATAAATACCTTTAGTGATTCTAATTGCCACATCACGAACATCTTGATTCCATTTTTCCAGAGCTTTTCGTTCAAAAACGAGTCAATATATCGGGTTAAAGAATATCCTTTATAAAGACATATCCATAGGAGCACAGGATTGAAAATTGGATGAAACGAAAAAGGATACATGTAGTGTTCAACAAATATACACTAACTTTACTCACGCAATTGGCATCTGCACCATCCAAATTACTTTCTTGACATTTAAGTAATAATTTATTACGAATCCATCTAATTTGTTTCCTGGAGTATCGACGCGTTGCTGCTTTCATAGCTTCAATACTAGATTCCTTTATAGTATCTAATAATTACGAAATCAGCACAATCAACCTATAAATTCAAGTGATTATTTTAATATAACACTGGCACAATTTACAAACCGATGACATTATTATCACAATGTGGTGTTTCTTCCAAAGCTTTCAAATAAGGCTCAAATTCTTTACATCCTACCACAATAAAAACATATAATTACTATGATTATATAATTCCATTTAGCTTATGTAATAATATCTTTTACCTATAACTTGCCAAATTCCACGCGTATAGTTTATACTTTCGCCAGATGACGTATGCACTGACTCATTTTTTACCTTATTCCTAAGGTATATTAATTCTTCAAAAAGTCCCTCCTGAGATGCAGGCCGATAAAATAGGATGATTTTATTACCATTTCGATAAGTGAAATTATACCTGTAAACTTACAAGTCAACATCTACAAGTTAACATTTACCTCAATCATTTTATCTACTCGTTTATCAAGTCTTTGATCTAAGACTTTAGGATCAGCGTATAACCAAAAAATGCATGTTCGAGGAAATCTATAAAAGAAGTATTAAGGGTATTATTAGCACTATCATCGATAATGTTTCCAAATTGTTTTTTTTCATTTGAACCTCAATGACAAAGCCTTTTCATCTGGTTGATTTTGTTCTTTAATCCAGTCACTATGACATTTTCCTGTTTGCAAATATATCTGGTATTTTAAGAAATGAATATTTAGAACATTTAGAGCGTCGTTGAATAACATAATGTTATAAAAATTCGGTATCCTGTACCTGTAAACTTCTTCGAATTTTTCTTCTATCATTCTGGTGCCATTTATTAGCCATTATAGGGTCAACTTCTTGTAAACGTTTATAGAGAATATCTGTCTCCGAATTCAAAATTTCATCATTTTCTGAATCATTGTCATACTCTTTGTCATCATAGTCTTTAATAAGTGAATTTTTCCAAAGTAAGGATTGTATGTAATAATGAGTTCCACCAACAATAATAGGAATACGGTTGTGAATATGAATATCATTAATCTTGAAATTTTATACAAGGCATAAAATTGTAAGATACTTATAATATTAACAGTCTAGTTCCTTCGAATAAAAAAAAAAAATTCATACAATTTTTATAGCATCTTCAGTAAATTCAGTGACACGATATTCTTGAGATGACTCTAAAAAGTCCATAAGATGATGTGGAATTCCTTCACGTTCTTTCATAGGCATTTTGTTTGTAATTATATCCAGTCCTTTATAAACCTAGATTATACAAACATAATAAATAATTGTGGCAGCTTATGCTTATGCTGAAATTTTGCCGTATTTTATCATGAAATTTTTTTGGGGACTTTTTTTTCATAAAAAAAAGCACATGTGGATTTTGGTAGGTATTATAGATTTAAATAGAGATCCTAAATTTCAGCATAAGCCGCCACGATAATTGATCTAGGATTAAGATCATTATTCTTATTTAAAAAAACAAAGATATTTCATAGGTTCTCACATTTTGTATAAATATTTCGGATTAAACTCAGAGTGATCATTGCTAGTTTTTTTATTATGCGTATTTATAAGGTGTTCATTATAAATTTTTTTATATAAAATTTCTTGTCCTATTTGTCGTTTAATACCTGCATAGAGTCTCCGTTAATCACTTCTCCGTTTAAGGCTTTTGCCAATTGAACCCCGAGTTCAGATTTACCAACACCCGTTGTACCCACAATTGCAACTACTCCCTTGGGCATTTTATTGGTAACACGTAAATAAGTTTGTTGTAAAAGTAGTTTGAAACGAGAAAAGAAGGAATTCATAAAATTAGTATTGATTATCTGATAATCTGATAGCTAATCAAGAAATTCTGTCATATATTAATTACATGCCTAATTGGTTGCCATTCGAAAAACTTTTAATTGCGTAGGGACCCTAGAACCTGGTCTTGGGACCTAGTCTATAAAGACTAAGCTTTAACTTTAGGTCCTAAGTCTATAGGTCATAGTAAGTCCTATCACATGATGAATTTTCCCGTCTCTGATTGGCTGGAACATATAATATCGATTTTTGGAGGTACCTGGTCTGAAAGTCAAGACCTGGACCTGGACTGACTTCACTATCCCTATCGATATGTACTAAATCCCGAGCTTTGACTTCTTTCGATTAAATAATGTACAATCCTAATACTTCAAATACTTTGAATACTTTGAATACTTCGAGTCAATCTCGGAATACCAAGGTTAGTGCCTCTTATTCCCCTTTTCTACACCTCAACGTTACGAACTTTTATCGTGAATGTGTTTTCTTGAATGAATCTTTGTTCATAATAAAGTGCCATATATTACCATTAGCCTCTCTTTTTCTTTATATTTTCCTCTCTTTATCTCCGTGGAAATACTACCGTGTCCTACCTAACAGAATTTCTCGACTGGAGAAAATCATCCTGAAGAAAATGATGAACCCCTAGAAGATCAAGTTTTTCTTCTACCTCGTGGTCATGTTCCGCAAGCATACCTTGATTTGTCAAACACTGACATGGCTAGCATGGATATACATCTTCCAGAAAGCAACGTAGGTTACAAGTTATTAACAAAAATGGGCTGGAAAGCTGGTCAAGGACTTGGAAGCTTGCAACAAGGTTATTATTGATAGATTTAAATTTTTGTTGATATTTTAGATCTGAATATTTATTAATAAAAAACATTATAGGGAGAAAAGAACCAATTCGTATAGATACAAAGTCTGATTGTTTAGGTGTCGGAAAACTTGAGGAAGAAAATTTTTATCACGTAGTTAGTACTGCAAAACGCAAAGCATTAGACAGTGAGAAAATCGCAGAAGAAACAGAGGAAGAACGTCAACAAAGACAGGTTAACTTTAATTAAAATAATTTTTATTTCGATTAATGTCAATTGAAACTGAACCTTTGTTTAATGTTTAATTTAATATAGAACAAAGTACAAAAACAGGAATCCATTAAAAAGGAATTAGAAATTATCAATTCTGCTTTCTATTGCGCATTATGTGATAAACAATATACAAAAATAACGGAATATGAAACGCATTTGAGTTCATATGACCATAACCATCGCAAGGTATATTCGCGAATTTCAACCTGGATTATCAATGACAAGTTATCTTATTAATTGTTTTTGTTTATAGCGATTCAAAGAAATGAAAGAGACTATAAATCGTCCAGTTGCGAAATTAGACAAAAAACGTGAAAAAGAGAGAAAGAGAGAAGAAAAAGAAATGGCACGGTTACAACAAGCCGCACTCCAAAAGGTTGTAAATAAATCTTCATTTGCCAAGGGGACTGTTGACGATGAGATACCTTGTTCTGAAACTGTTAAAAGCACAAACACTATGAAAATTTCTTTTAAGAACAAAAATGCAAAATACTAATTTTGTGTCCTGTTATTATTTAAAACAAGAATGTTTTTCTTAGACATCAATCTTCTTTTTCCTCTTATATTATCACTATATTAAAGTTTATTCTGCTATTTTTAGTTTAGCTGCAATTATTCTATTCTTAATAAATCAAAAATTTATAATAAATTATAATAAAATGAATAAATCAAAAAATAAGATTTTATCCAAGGTGTTTGGTGAAGAATAAATGTTAATTATATAAAAAAAACTTTTTAAAGATGAAACAGATAGAAATTATTTAGTTTTCTTGTGATTTCTTGGTGTTTTTGAACTTTATTTTCTTGTTTTCTGTTAAAACTGTTGTTCTGCTTGTTCAAACTGAATTGAAAGACTATTGATCTTTTAAGAATTGTTAAGTTGCAATATTGAATGTATTTGTTTTTTGTAAAAAAATAATATTTAGTCTATAGGATTTTAAAAGTGTTAATGTTTTAAGTCATTTGTTTAAATTATTTAACTTTTTGACATTTAGAATAGCTATCTTGATTAATATATTATTTATAATAGCAATTAGTAAGTTTTAGAGCTATTTTGTGCTTTTTGATTTCTTGTGTTTTCTTTTTTATATACAACTAAGATAAATGATATATTTTTTTAATGTTTAGTTTAAAGGCTTCTAGAGTCTATATTAGTTTTTCTGAAATCATGTTTTTTGTAAAGTTATCTATATTTTCTTTAGAAGATAAAGTTTCTGTACTAACAACTATATTATTTTTTTGTATTTTCTTCTTTAAAACAGTTGTTTGTTCTTAAAGAGGTTTTGCTTTTATATTAGTATTTTGTACTGTTTTTTGTACTAAAGAAGTTTTCTCAATGATGTTTGTATTATGTTTAAATAAGTTTTTACTAAGAGCTTCAATTTGAGTCTTTCTATTTTTAAATTTTTAAAAGTATTATTTTAGGTTTTTTGTTTTTTAAAATTGTATACAGTTTTTTTTAATATAACTAGTTTGATTATAGAAGTAACATACTTTTAAAATCTTTTTTTATTTAATAGTTTTTCTATTGTCTTCTATGTAAATAATATAAGAAATTCTTTTTTAATTCTAGGTTATCTGTATTATCAAAAATAATTATTTATTAGTTTGTTAAATATAATATATCTTTGATAAGCAATAGTTTAAAGAAGACAATTTTTTTGAAGTTTTGAAAGATCTTTTTGACCTGATTAAAAATATGTTCTTTAATACCTAGAGGCATATTTCTGATCTTAACTAGTAAAAAAAATTTATATGTATTAGTAAAAATATATTTATAATATGTTTTTCTAAAGATTTTAACTCTATTAATTGCATAATACATTAGTTAATTTTGGTTTAAAAATACAATTTAAAAGTAAGACCTTAAGCTTTTTTAAAATATAGCTTGGCTGCAACTATAGCTTCTCTTATGTTTTTATATAAAAAAATCATAATTTCATTAAGAAAGCTGTAAAGACTTGATATTTTAATAATTAATGTATTGTTGTTTTTAGATTTAATTTAGTTTTTAGAAAAAAATACAATAATAGTTAAATTTTCTTATTTTAACTTGGCAAACAAGCTTGTATTTTGTTTTGTAATTAATATATAATTTTAGATAACCTTATATACTAATTAATTATCAATAATATTATTATTGTCATATTTTAAGTTTAACATATAACTATTTCTGTTATTGTTTTTTTTTTTTTATTTATAATATTGTATATATTTTTTAAAGCCTAAGGATTATTTTTATTTTAGTCAATATTTTTTAAACAAGCTTTTTTGTTCTAAATTACTATTACTAAAACTAAAGTATTTTCTATTGCTGTCTTTTTTTCTTAAGCTGTTATCATATTATTGAGTTTTGTTTTCTTTTTCTACAAATAAATTGTTAGTTTCTTTCATTTTTTTTATATTAAGTTTTTTTATTTTGAAAATTTTTTTTGTCACTAAGTGCTTTACTTGTTAAAAAAATTTTTTTTCTTAGAATAAGAACTTTAGCTCTTAATAGTAATTTTAATCAATTTTAATATAAGAAAAATAATATTAATTTTAAACTTTAAACTTAATTATTGCATTATAATTTATTAATTAATTAAAACTAAAATAATCAGAATTTGGCTATAATAATATATATGCAAACAATTAAACTAATATTAGTAAAGTAGGTTAAACTTTTTGTTTTTGCTTTAATCTAATATTATTAGTTTTTTAATTAACTAAAATTTAATTAAAGTAATCAAGAATTTATTAAAATTATTGATACACAAATAGTTAAACTAATGTTAGTAAAGTAGATTAATTTTTTTGTTTTTGTTTTAATCTAATATTATTAGTTTTTTTAATTAATCAGAATTTAATTAAAGTAATTAAAACTTTATTGATATAATAAATATACTAGTAGTTAAAAAAACATTTAGCAGTTAAGATAAATTAAACTGTTTTATATCTTTTTATACAAATTTTTATTAGTATTATATATAGCCAAAATATAATAATAATGTTTATTAAAATTAATATTATATTTGTAAATATCAAAGTTCTAATAATATGAAAACAAAAGTAACATAGTCAAAAATTAATAACAAATAAGAAGTAAACATAGTGAATACTATTAACAAATTTATGCTAATTGTTTTAAAACAACTGGTATACTAAAAATTAATTTTTTTTGTTTAGATTATAATTATTAAAGAAAAAATAAAACTAATAAAAAGAATGTGGATCCTATCTTATAGCTTAATTGTTAAACTCCTATATCCTCACAGTCAAGGTCAATAGTTCAAGTTTGACTGAAGGCAAAATTAAAATATTTTAGTTTTTGTAATCTATAAGAAGTCTGTAATTGAATATGAAGACCTGTAGTCAAGTCCAAGTACAGTACATGACAAAAAAAAGAATTCCTAAAAGAAGACCAACTTTGCAAAGTATAGACATTATAGGTAACAGTAATATCACAAAAGGTTTTGTTATACAAAGTATTGCATATATAAGTTTTCTGGAAATGAGACAGTACTAACATTTTCACATTTAACTTGGAAAGTACTTAATTAGAAGAATAATACCAAAGTACTATATACTGGAGTGATGAGAGAAACAGTGCATACATGGAAGGTCTGTAACAAAAGATTAGTCTTATTAAGATTGAAAGAACTTCTGACACTGTGAAATGACTGAAAATAAAAGGTAGCTGTATATATAGAAAAGTTGTAGTCTGTTCTGTATGTCTAAAGGTATCAAACTAGAGCTCTGGTTATACCTATATAAAAGCTTATAATGAAACAAGTAAAACATATCAACATAAATGCTATACCAATCAAAGTTAAGATATTTAAATTGGAAAAGATTTTTATGAACAAGTATGAGACATCTGTAGAAATGCAGATTTATACAGAAGAATACAAACCAGCTTTGGGTGATGCAAACATAAGATAAGTTCTTATATATTTAAGTAGAAAGTGAATATTAGCTAATAGTTGAAAAAAAATAGAAGTATTATTTCTGAAACATAGTTTTATTTATACTATAAAAGAAAGTACTTAAGAGGCAGATTAGATGCACAATCTGTTTGAATAATGTTAAAACCAAGAAGAGTTGCAAACTAGCAGCAGCAGATACCTGGCTTGAGATATATGCTATCAGTATCTAAATTAAGAATTTAGTAATAGTGTAATAAAATTTACTAAAAACTATTAAGCTGTAGTAAATTTTAAAGTAATGAGTATCGAGTAGAAGATCTTTTATTTAAAAAAAAATAAAATAAATAAAAATAACTAAAAATAAGAAATAAATATTTAAAAATA